TGGCCCAGTGAATAAAAGCGGTTCGAAATTCCAACGTATATCACCTGAAGAAGGCCGGAGCGTACAATGGCCGAAACTTTATGAATGTGACATTAAAGATGAGGACTACAGTCCGACCGATGTTAATAGTGTAAATAGTTACAATACCCCATCTCATAAATATAGACAGATCCTGAAGAATGCCAGAGCGTACAACGGCCGAAACGTCGTGAACAAAACAATAAAGATGAGGATAACAGTCCGAATGATGTAAATAATGTAAATAGTTACAACACCTCTTCTCAGAAATATAAACAGATCCTGAAGAAAGACGGAGCGTACAACGGCAGAAACGTCGTGAATACGGCAATAAAGATGAGAACAACATTCTGAACAATGTAAATAGTGTAAATAGTTAAAATACCTTATCTTAGAAATATAGAGAGGTCTTGAAGAAGGCCGGAGCGTACAACGGTTGAAATGTAGTGAATATGGGAATAAAGATGAGGAAAATAGTCCAAACAATGTAAATAGTGTAAATAGTTACAATACTTCATCTCTAATAGATATCTAATATCAAGCAAATATATAAATAATGGCCTAATATAAACATCCAATTTGACAGAATATAGTAAAGAAATATAACAATTTAAATATCTTGTAAGTGTTTTAACAGAGGACAGAAAGTGCGACACTAAAATCCGAAGGCGCGTTGGGATAGCGAAAGATGCCTTCAAAAAGCTAAGCAAAATATTAAGGAAACTTTTGGCAATAAAGATGAGGACAACTGACCGAACAATGAAATTTTTTTAAGCATTTCACCCCAAGCAAGGCGGGGCTGCCACTAGTACGCAAGTGGTTACAGAGAGTGAGAGCAAGATTAAAGAGGGGGGGTTGAAGAAAGGATATAGAGAAGGACGGGGATCAGGATCAAGGCATCAGAAGATGTCGATTGACATTACATTTGAATTTTTGAAGATTATAGCTATCAGGAAGCAAGTAAGAGGAAGGGAGTTCCACTGTCGGGAAGTGCGAGAGAAGAAGCTGTTGGAGTAGAAGAGGTGTTTAACAGTGAAAGTGTGAGACCGAAATACCAGCTTAGTGACACGCTTAAATCCATGCAGTTAGCGTACCAATGAAAGTAGCTCGTCAGAGCAGTTGCCATGAAAATATTTGTAGAAAAGACAGAGGGAAGTCACAGTAAGTTTGTAAGAAAGTGACTGTAGGCGAGGTGCCAGATCAGGACCTATCACACTGCATACCCATCTCTGAATTTTGTCGAGAACCTCGAGATGGACAGCAAGGGCACTAGTCAATATACGTCAGCTGTATCAAATGCAAGGCCGACTAGTAGATTTGAAGTATGAACTCAGGCGAGAAAAATCTTCTGACGCGAGACAGAGAGCCAGTTTTCCTTGTGGTAGATGAAGCTGTTGATTCAATGGAGGAACGGGTTATTGTGCTTTGTGGGTGCTTCTCTGCAGAACAACGGGAAGGAATTTTGTAGAATATTGAATATCCACATAAAAGTGTCTGTTAAATATTTGAAAAATGTTTGGAACTTCATCCATGACAATAACGCAAAATAATTTTAAATCTTCAATGAACATATTCAGGATAAGATTATAAATGTTTTACCTTCGCCATCAGAAAGTACCGACCTAAGTCAAATTGAAAACTTATGGAATGAATTAAAAAGGCATGTAAAAGCAGGAAAAGTAATTTACAACAACTTTTAGATTACCCCTATAGAGTTTGGCAAAATGCCCCTGTATATGTTTGTGCTAATTTAGTAAACGGTTACTGAAGAAAAGTTAACAGAAAGATATACCTTAAAAAGGATACGTAATTGACTATTAATTTTATCGCCTTATTAATTTGTGGCATACAATTAGTTATCTGTCTATATTTCTGAGATAAGGTATTATGTACACTATTTGCATTATTCGGACTATTGTCCTCATCTTTGTCGCCATATTTATTACAACATTTCAGTCTTTCAGTATCTGTCTATATTTCTGAGATGAGGTATTATGTGCACTATTTACATTATTCGGATTATTGTCCTCATCTTTGTCGCCATATTTATTACAACGTTTCGGCCTTTCAGTATCTGTCTATATTTCTGAGATGAGGTATTATGTGCACTATTTACATTATTCGGACTATTGTCCTCATCTTTGTCGCCATATTTATTACAACGTTTCGGCCTTTCAGTATCTGTCTATATTTCTGAGATGAGGTATTATGTACACTATTTGCATTATTCGGACTATTGTCCTCATCTTTGTCGCCATAATTATTACAACATTTCGGTCTTTCAGTATCTGTCTATATTTCTGAGATGAGGTATTATGTGCACTATTTACATTATTATCAATTCGCCATTCCAACAACCTGAAGAAGGCCGGAGCGTACAACAGTCGAAACGTTGTAATAAATATGGCAACAAAGATGACGACAATAGTCCGAATAATGTAAATAATGTATACAATTAGTTGTCATTTATTTACAATTATTCAAATTTTAAAAGATTTATTGATATATTTACTAACATTATACATATATCCACCTTCGTTTTTCAGAAATCTTTTAATACTCGCTGCCACATCTGGTCTGATGCTCCCGCTCTTAGAGATTCTTGAGAAAACCCAAACAGGAATCAGCAATAGTATTGGTTCTATCTCGGCTTCAAACACTTTCTAACCGCCGTAATGTCTCTTCCCTATACATTTCATACAAATAATTGCATGATAATTGGTTTGATGAACTTTTCTCTATCGTAAATATTCATTTTATTTTTAAAGGTTTTTTACCTCCACCCACAAACAAATTGTACATATGGGGACCAGTTAGGATTTTATAGAGACTCAAGGTATTATGGTGACTGTATTAAGAATGGTAAGTGAGAACCTGTTGTTTTCGTGGTATATTTGAATCAGTAATTCTGGTTAACTAAGTTTAAGATAAGACAAATTGAAAACCAGTCTTCCCACTTCTTCCCTTTTGGTCTTGTGCCACATTTTTCAAAATAAATATTACTTTTCCTCATTTACTTTATAAATTTAAGTGTAATATTAGATTGGAGACAAAATCTCACCATTTTACAGTTAAAAATGGCTACACGTAACCGCAAGTTCTATGTTAACAGTTTCTTCTATCGCACTTTTCGCTTGTGGAATTCTACATCCGGTTTCTTGCATCCCAGTAAATTTGAATGTCAGTCGTTATTAACTGTATTCTAAATTAGTATTCTTTTATTTTCTCTCTCCATAATTGTTTTCTTTTTATCATTTTCTTTCAAACTAAGTAACCCTCTTGCATCTTAGTGGCGTTATTATATATATATATATATATATATATATATATATATAATAATATATAGAATTTTAATATATATATATATATATATATATATATATAGTAAAATCGACCATAACGAGATCCGAACCCGGGTCTCATGGTCGAGAAAATGAGCGTTATATAACGTCCATTTATATACATATAGAGCGTTAAATAACGTTCGCTAATATATATATATATATATATATATATATATATATATATATATATATATATATATATATATATATATTACGAATTCTGATCAAGGGAATCCATCCAGCTCTTATCTCAAATAACAACTTAAAGGTCTGACCAAAATTCAAGTTAAAAATAAAAAAATAAGAAAACAAATGAAAACTACAGACAAAAGTTCATTTTCTTCATCAAGACATTCATTTCTGTAGTCACCCTACCAGCAAGCAGAAAATTATTATTCTCCTGATGATGGCCATGTTCGCCGAAACTAGTCAAGTAATCTAAATAAAATAATGAAATAATATAAAACCGAAGGAATATTAATATACAAGCCCCAGTGTGTCTGAAAATTTTAATTTTGAATATTTTTATTGTTCAATATATATATATATATATATATATATATATATATATATATATATATATATATATATATATATATAACGTCTACTTTCGACCATGAGACACGGGTTCAGATCTCACTATAGTTGATCCTTTAGGAAGCTGACTTCCTGAGGTTATCGTCGTCTTGTATCAAACACTTTGTAAAACCATAGCAAATTCGGTAGACAGTACTATTTGGGAACCGTCGATCATTGATTTCGCACGAGGGCAATCATGACTGACGGTTTGAGTGTACTGCACTTGTTCAGACTGTGAATCACAGCATATAATCCGCGCTATTTCTCTTTCTCTCTCTCTCTCTCTCTCTCTCTCTCTTAGAAATTGTATCTACGGTCCGCTCAGCATAGTTGCAACATAAAACAAGTCAATATCTATCTATCGATTTGGGCGACCGAAGGCGTTGTAATGGTTAGCAAGCCTCATAATTTCGGCCTTGTGCCACATCTAAGCTACGTTTAGAAAATAACTATATCTATCTATATCTGTTTCTATCCATCTATGTCAGTTTCTTTCTTTCTTTTTCTCTATCTATGTCCGTTTCTCTCTATCTATCTATCTATCTATCTATCTATCTATCCTTCTATCTCTATGTCCGTTCCTTTCTTTCTTTTTTTTCTTCCTATCTATCTATGCCCGTTTTTATCTATCTATCTATCTATCTATCTATCTATCTATCTATCTATCTATGTCCGTTTCTAACTATCTATTTGTCTATGGCTGTTTCTATCTATCTATCTATCTATCTATCTATCTATCTATCAATGTCCGTTTCTGTCTATTTGTCTATGGCTCTATCTATCTATCTATCTATCTATCTATCTATCTATCTATCTATCTATCTATGTATGTATTTGGTCACATCTATGAATTTATGTATCTATTTCTTAGTAATTTCCGGCCTGTCTCTTTCTATATCTCAAACCGTTTAGTCTTCATTTTATCTCTTTTACCGATTAATACTTATTTCTTTCTATTTTGTCTAGTTCTGTGTTAATATCTATCTATCTATCTATCTATCTATCTATCTATCTATCTGCTACGTTTCATCTCCATTTCTAAAAAATAACTGCAATTAAGCCATATTATTTTCGCAAATAAATACCAAAACATGTCGGACATTTTTCTTGTCCACAAGATCGAGGGGTGAAAAGAAAATAGAAAACATATTATGGAAATATAAAAACAAACATTGAAGTATAAAATTCAACACGAAATAAAACACCATAAACAAAACTATAAACTAAAAGTGAATTGAAATCTCATTTTTTCTTGGTCCGAATTCTTTCTACCCTATTTCCGGTAATTTACACAGTAATTCTGGGGCGAGGGCAAAATGAACAGAAGAAGCGAGTGAAGAAACAAGGGCGATAAACCATAATGACATTCTTCACATAGAAATTTAGGAACTGATCTGATGTACGACGAGATAAAATAACGCAAGCCCTCATTAATCGTACAAAATATTCCCGCGTTTCGTGTTATCTTTATGGAGAAATTGCTATGGAAAATAAATAATTAAATTAAAACGAATTCAAAAATGGAACGAGCAAAAGTTTAATATTAATTAGTATTGACGAATCAAAAGATTTTGGTTGGTTGTTTTTGTTTAGCGGCAGATCAACACCTCTATGGGTTATTTGATGCCGAAATCTAAATATTTTGTACGCAATTCTATTTTTCTTTGGAGATGGTTTCAGTGATATAAGCCTTACTAAATAATCCATAGTCTAGTAGCATACACGGGGTCGGGTCTGTCTACCACCCCGGACGAAACTCTACCCTTCGGCATAGCCTCGTCTGGGCTCCTCTCTGCCCGAAGGTACAAAGTTTGACAAGAATTGCGCCATGCGCGTGGCCAGCCCATGCTGCCGACGGCGGGCGACCAGTAGCTGTAGCATGTAAAGCGGGCTTCCTATATACCACCAGGCGAATTCAGTATGACGGGAAAACCAAACCCGTCGGTGGGAGGGTAAGCCATCCGGCCAATAACGAAAATTGCCGATATATATATATATATATATATATATATATATATATATATATATGTGTGTGTGTGTGTGTGTGTGTGTGTGTGTGTGTGTGTAAAATAATTAAATAATTAAGAAAAAGACAACCTTAAGATTCCATGACTATAATTTATTTCACCAGAAAATATATTTTTTCTGATACATCAAATCACATCTCTAGTTACAAAAGAAGTAGGTTTCTTTATTATAAATACAATTTTTGAGGGATCGTTTTAAATTGATATAAGGTAACAGAAGTGGTTGGAGGATTATGGAAAGGTCAATTCTGGAAATGTAAACAGGGATAAGGTTGGTTTTTTTTTTTTTTTTTTTTTTTTTAAAAACACCCTTAATAATTTACTTAGGTTCAAGTGTACTCAGTGAAGAGGCCAGACAATTTGACATCTTAAATAATTTTTAGACAAGAGAAAAAGAAGAGAAAAAGGAAAACAAATAGTAAAGCGGGTGATTGGGGGCGGGGAGAGGAAAAGCAAAGAAAGAGTTAAGCAGGGTGGAGAGGGGAAGAAGGAATAGTGAGTTATCATATGTGGGCATCTCACGGTGAAACTCAAAATGCACATAATTTGAAATGCACATCAATATAAAGTATAGTTAATACATAAAGTATTAAATATTACCAGCAACTTAGGAATTATATATATATATATATATATATATATATATATATATTCGTCCATGCTTAGAATATTGCTGCCACATATGGTCCAGTGTCCCTGATATTTACTTTGAGTCCCTTGATAAAATCCAAAGAAGAATCAGTAATAGATATTATTGGGCTTGATATGGGCGACTCAGCTTCAATTACTTTCCCCACCGCCATAACGTTCGCTCTATGTGCCTTGTCTATAAATATTTTCATAGTAATTCTTTGTATGAGTTCTTCGCTGTGGTATCTAGTATTTGGAATTTAAGCGCAGTACTTGACTGGCGTCGAGATCTCATCAGTTTACAATTGGGCTGGTTAGATGGAACCGTAAATTCTATACCCACAGTTTCTTTTCTTGCACTTCTCGCTTGTGGAAATCCTATTCCGGCTCGATAATCTGCAGAAGTTTAAATGCAATGTCAATCTCTATCTACTGTCCCCGTGATTACTCTTTCCTCACCCAGCTCATCATTAATGTTTCTGTTCATAATTCTTCCACACCCTGTATCTCCTTATGTCTTAGTGGCTTTACTGCCATGAATGGGGAGATACTGATTAAAACCACACACACACACACACACATTCTATCTATCTATCTATCTATCTGAACTTTTTTTCATGAGCTTCCGATCCTTAGCTATGATTAAGTAAGGATAAACATGTCATTTTAGTTTATGACCGATTTCATTAGAATTCTTCTGTGAAATGGCCGGTGATATTTACCAACCTCCCCACTTGGTAGGGTGCGGCACAAGGCCAATTTTATGTGATGCAAATCGAGCGCGTAGGCACTAGGCATATATATATATATATATATATATATATATATATATATATATATATACCGGATGCAAAAGCAAAATTTTTATCTAAAGAAACATTAAAGTAACCGAGTTTCATTTTTTTTTCAGAGTTTTCAGATAAGACTTTTAGCCATCTTCATATCATTTGTCATAAGAATCACTGAAAAACTCTTTAAGTTATTCAGCTAGAAAGAGAACAGATTAAAATCATTTCGTTTCAGCCCCACTGTCTTCCCAATTGAACAATGGTGAGACGAAAAAAAACTATTCAGGAATGCCGTAATGGTACCAATATTAATACTGCCTACCATTTTCAAAATCTATTGAAGAAGCAACAAGAGAACGGCGAATAAGTTTAAAAGACGGAATAATAGAGAGGAAAACTAGTCCAGGAGCTCACAACAGGAAGAGAGATCATCATTTCAATTTACAGCCAAAGAGATCAATTAGAAGAGATCCAATTCAACCCATAAGACGTTTGGCACGTGAGAGATGAGTTTCAGCTATGACAGACCAAAGAGCAGTGAAAAAAAGACCAGAGAATGAAATCGGGTCTGTCTATCACCCCTATCTACCCTGGGCTGCTCTCTACTCGAAAGCAGAGAATTCGAGAAAAACTGTGACCCGGGCGGGCTGGGGAGCGGTAGGGCAACCAGGGGTATTTACCAACCTCCCCTTGTGTGGAAGTTGGTAAATACCACTGGACGCCAATGTTGATGTAGAGCAAATCCGAGCCAGTAGGCGCGGTCAAAAATTTCCCGTAGACCCGGCGTATAAGGGATAGGGTCTGTCTACCACCCCAGAGGAAACTCTGCTATCCTGCATAACATCGTCTGGGCTCTTCTCTGCCCGAAAGTAGGGAGTTAGACAAGACCTGCGCCTCGCGCGTCGCAAGCCAGAGGAGTGTTTCGGTTAGCAAGGTCGATTTTACTAACCGAAACGCTCCTCTGTGGCTCAGTCGGTAAAGCACATCAGGCTATTTAACGGTTCCGTAGAGGATACAGTTTCGATTCCTGTTGGAGGACGCATATTTTCTATGAAAATTTCACGGACATTCCGGTCGGTAAATGTCGTTAATACTGTTTATTATAAACAAAGTATTTAGTTAAATATTTGTATCTATAAAAAAGAACTTATAAACATAAAAAATGTCTTAAAATAATTGTCGGACTTTGTCCATTTCTTACTTTTATATATATATATATATATATATATATATATATATATATATATATATATATATATTCGATAAACGTGCAATCAATTTACAAATTCATGAATTATTCACACAAAAAACAAATGCAAAGGTTAATGATTTAATTGGCGAGAAATCCATCGTCGCAAATAATTACTGAGAGAAAAAACAAGAACAACATCTATTCCATACCTGAAGATGTCTGTAGGAACAGACGAAAGCTTGTAGTAAAAATAAGGACTAATGTGGCAGAAATTTATAGAAACAAGGATCTTTTCATTCATAACAGGTTCGGAGGTTTTGTATATTATTTGAATTGTTTGCGACGATGGATTTCTCGCCAATTAAATCATTAACCTTTGCATTTGTTTTTGTGTGAATAATTAATGAATATATATATATATATATATATATATATATATATATATATATATATATATATGTAAAGAGAGATAGAAGCATTTTGTTTATATATCGTCATTCTTTATGTATCTTCCTTTCAAGCATATTGTATGTATATACATATGTGTGTGTGCAATAATTAATAGTTATAAATTAAATTAAAGATTTACTTATACTGAGACAAGATAAGAAAACATTTAATTTTATTTATTGCTATTAATGTTCTGTATCATGATATCGAGCATTATAATTACAAAGATTCCCTGCCTTAAAAACGTGCCTAGCTATATTACTATCCACAGAAATAGTAAAGATGCCATGTCAACAATAGAATCCCTAAAAATAAATATTTCAAAATTGGATATCTCCTATACAGACTTAAACAATTCTAAACAATTGGCTAGAGATATGGAACTAGCACCTAAACAACAAATTTTACGAAAACCCATTCTAAGAGAATGCCATCTGGCTCTCAAAATTTCTTAGGAGATAGAATTCGTCCAATCAAATTTTAGAATAAGACACACCTACATTACTCACTCATTTCTCCTAAAAACTGAACATCATTATGGACGCGCAGTATGTCAGGAAGCATATAGTGTAAAACAAATTCTAATTGGTTGTAGTGACTCATACGTTAACAATTTTATGATATAACTCATCTAGAGGACATTTTCAAGAACATAAAATTAATCTATTCTAGCCTGCTTGAGCGAGGTTGGTCTATATCGCAAATCTTTGCAACAAGTAACTCCGTTGTAGAGGCATACCTGGACAATGATGAAGCCAACCACCCAAACTATTGATGATATATTTAAAAAAATAAAATTTCGGAATTAAATAAACCACAATGATGATATGTTGTTAAAAGAGAACAAGAAACCAGTCAACCTTACAAACGTTGTCTTCGAGAAATATCCTGGTCAAAAATTTAAGGGGGTCGCATCATTCACGAGAGATAAAATTAGCGTATGTGCTGTTGACCCTAAACACTCCGTTGATC